GAGAGCTTAGTTTTCAGACTGAGCTCTGCTTTAGTCACAATCGGTCGGGCTAGTTCACGCAGAACGCCACCGGCTACTCCAATTCGCCGGTCGATCCCTTCCTCCAATTTTCCACCACCTCTATGGGTGGTGCCGTGAAATTTAAAACAACAAAAGAAGAATATTTCTAAATGCTTGGAAAAATACTTTTGCAAGCAAAGCAAAGAAACAGAAATCGCACTGAATTCAATTGCATGATTATCCGAGTAAATGGCCCATAAACAGTGAAAATGCATCTCCTAAACACAAATCGAAAGACGTAATTAAATCTAAATAAGTTCATGCAAAATTTTTTTAATTGCAATGTACCGTACATTTCTAAAATGTACTATGCCAGTACTCACCTTACCGTGTGCTTGTTAAATTGCTATTATTTAAACATATATATAACATCATCTGTCAATATTTCGATCAGGGCAGTGCTTCAATAGCTTCTTCTTGATAGAGATAGCAAATTTAATCTAATTTGCTCGTCGAATGCACTTTTTGTAGCCGTTCATGAGGTCGCAATGTTCTAAGACTGCTTTTGACAAACCTGCATATCAAAATTTAGTTTGTTCACCATCACTCCCTACATTGCGTTCACACGGATTTCTGAACTCTTTTAACAATGGGACTTCACTTTATAAATGAAAGCTTGTTTGTAGCCTGGACCTCCGTCTGAACACTCCATAACAAAACATCGACATTCAGCATTTTTAATGTTTTTCAACAATTAAGCTTTTATACAATCATGACACAACACTGCAATTCCATAAAGAAAAGTAATCGGATAAGTTCAAAGACACAATGCGTGGTCAATATATTCAAAACACAGACATGGTCACTTCTAAACTGTTCACTGTCAATCAGCCAATGAGTCTGTAACACTGGATGATTTATTTTAGGCCATGCACCAGTTGGTCAACCAGATATTAGTCAATTATGGATCCTTCCTGGTCTGCGTTGTGGGCAAATCAGCTCTGATAACTACGGCCGTATTTTCCTGATAGGACCGTTACCTATAAGTGGCACTGAAATGCTGACGCAAGGTACAGTTGACGTACCCATGATTGTTATCTGACTCGTCAACAGACCAAAGGATCGTCACGCACAGAGATAAAAAGGGCGCCAAATAATGAGATTTAACGCAATACGAACATAGCCGTTTAAATGCACATTCAATCACATTGGCATTCTTCAGTGGGTCATTGCATATACTTCATTTCGACAATACACGTACGAATGCTTGCATAGGACCCACTCAGTCCTTCACATTGGAGGACTTAATTATACTGTTCCTAAAAGAGCACACGGCCAAAACGATTCAAAAAGCAGTCAGTTTCTTCATGATCTTTCCCATCAGCGGGCTAATCAGCTTCTGGAGTGATGGCGCCATTTTTTCTGGCCGTATACGTGTATATACATATATATATATGACAAACTATATATAATCAACATGGCCAATCTAGTAACTGCTTATATCAAAGCATGCACTTCGAATATCTCCTTATACTCTCTAAGCAAATGATGCCGATACGATTAAAGTCATTACCGGAGAATAAGACATTCATATTAAATTTATTTTAAAAAACAATAAACATAATGCATAAAAACATTAAGAAAAATCATGTTTAGTAATGAAAACGGTCTAGGAATCGGCTTCAGAATTGCTTCCTTAAAAGTCGGTCGGTCTTCAAGAGTCCCATTCAGTTTCACTGAACGTTTCCTAAACAGATCGTACCGTTCGAAAAGCAGCCAATAGTATTAGCATCAAACCAATCACACCACAAAATTACCTTAAAACACCAAGTAGTCATACCACCACAGCAAGCCCAAACATTCAAGAAAAATGTCAATAATTCTGTTAAATGAGGCAAAGATAAAAACAAGGTTTCTACATTTCTGTCAGAACATGAACGCTGAAATAAGATTACGTTGAGAACTAAGCAAAATCAATGTCTACTGATTAATGGGTGGGTCATCACGATCATATGCGTGGGTGAAAACCGGATATGGGAAATCAATGCACCAGCAACATTCAACAAACAGATAAAGAACAGCAGTGGCAACGAAATGGTACGCAAAAACAAGGTGGCTGCGAAAGAAACGCTTGGGATGACCCTGACTCTATACAAGCCCAAATTTGGTTATCGGCAGAGATGTTTTAACATATATTTAAGAGCGATGACCAATCATGACAAAAGTTTTTAAAGTCGATGCTCCAATGCAATATAAACGCGTTCGCATGAAAAATTTTTCAAGTTTAAAGGACTAGAGACAATTGTCAAATGAGCAAGGTCTTAATAAATTAGACTAAAAGAGAAAAGGAAGATAACAGGTCATCATCCAGCTTTGTTATATCAAGCGATCTAGTCAGCTTGCTACCTCCAGCAAGAGTCATCTTTATAGAGGAGATTCCAGACAGTCGAGTGTCGGTGAGTGCCTGATCGACAAATTCATAAGAGAAACTTTAAATAATCTAAGATTCTGCTTCTATTGAAGCTGTTACTATCGCTTAATAAATCTTGATGAGAGGAAAGGAATGAAAGTTTGCAACCGTTGGAATATCGTAAATATCTTCGTTACACGTTCATGATGGGGAAATTTCAGGAGCCCTTTATTTCATTACGTTAGTGGTGAAGTGCTGATTTCCATTACATGCCAGAACCAGGAATATTTTACTTTAAAGGCAGGATTGGCAGCAGCTATGTAGCCTCAGGTTTCGTTTTCACAGAGTTGTACTCATTTATTAACCTCAGAAGAAAGAAAGGCCAGTGAGCAGACTGAAGTTCGAACCGCGGAACCTATTGGTTCCAAGATCAACGCTCTAGGACTGAGCAACCATGGTCTGAAGTAACGCGTGGTAAATTTCTTGCTCAAGGGAATTCGTGATAAAGGCAAAGATTAGTCCTACGCCAGAATCGAACCTAACATCTCCGGTGTTAAGGCTTATCTCTTAGGCACTGAAGTAGGTTAGCTTAAACCAAGTCAAAATATGCGCCTTGAATATCGTCCAGTGAAACATCGTAAAATGCCACGTCTGGCTTCATTATAATCCTAAACGAAGTGACCATTCCACGGCGAGACTGGGATGCTCCCCACAATTCAAATTCATTGTAGATCGCTTACTTGCTATCCCCAAAGATTCACGATTGAATGAGCCTAAGAAACATAACGAGTTTCTCATTCACCTGGAGAATTTTAGGATCTATCTAATTCTCCACACCAAAGTCTCCAATATTCAACATAACGGACATAGTGTCTTAACGTCAGCAGCAATAGAATTTCAACATTTCAATTTGATAGCGGATTTTCGTGTATGCGCTTCTAGTTTACTAAGAATGCCATATAGGCCGGTCACGGCTCCATGGCAATTAAGATTTTGCTATGCATTTGATGCAAGACTCGTCTATGAATTGTGCTGAACGGCAATGCGTTCGAGCAGCAGCAACTAGAATTTGCCAGTACCGCTAAGGAATTCGAACGTGCCCTTGTTCAGAACAACTCAGAGATGCGTTCTTGCGTCAGAAGCACTGCTAATACTTGAATACACTGAAACCGCAAGTTGACCTACACTGAGTATTTCCGGTAACAGAAATAAAAATCAAAAATGTCACGACTACCAGTGGAACTGGAAGCTACTATGCGGCAGCTCCTACTAAAAACAGCAGAGTTACGTTTCATCTAACAGAACTTCATATTCAAACAAACTTTTAGCAGAACTTAGCCCGATAATACTGTTGCTGCTAGGTCATCAGCTTCTTTTTAAAACGGGAATTCATTACAACCAATAAGTAAATTTTTTCTTAACGACGGATGGCGTAAGGTCAAAAACTGATCCCTTGGTCACTGCGGAAGCTGACCTCTTATCACATAGTTGTACACATGGACTGCGCTGCTGAAGCGATAAATTGAACAGTGCGGAACTGAAAAGAGACAAAAAGAGATACCATTACGCACGAATCATATAACCACATGTTCTGGCCAATCTTAGCTAATTTTAGAACAAGAAAATCAAGTATGAACAAATCTATGCATTTGGTGAAATCGACATCGAGCCCGCTTAAATGCATATCAATCGATGTAATCTCGAATGCTATGAAAAACTTACCCGAGCTTAAGACGATTGCTCCAAAAGGAACTCCGCCAGCTTAGGGCGTATTTTGTCCGCAAGACCAAGTATCACCAGGAAATCACCTTTCGCGTTGAGGTTCAGAGCTTTTCTAACAGTACGCAGGTTCAGTTTCGACCTCTCCAACCCATAGTTTCTAAATACGAAGCTGTATTTGTTAAAGCAACATTCGCAAAGATAAACTGCTTTAACATTATCAGTTATAAACTGCCCTTACGCAAGCCAATCAACATACTGAAAGAGGAAAAATCGTAAAAGCATAAAGACCTCAAAGCTTCGAATATCAAGTAACATTGTAACGCCCAAGAGCTTACTTGATTGATGGAAGGGAATGATTTTAAGTTGAACAAATATGGTGATGCTTTGTAATATCCACGCGCTGCATTTGCTCAAATGCCATGAAGCCATGGCCTGATCATACTTAAAATTTCCCTCATGTTTCTAATAGTAAGCAAACGGAGAAATACGCAGTCATAATTCAGTTACGGCACACGATTTCGTTCTTCTAGGCATTATCAAAAAATGCCCTTGTTGACGGTGATTCCAGCCACAATATTGAACTATTTTGTGGTGTCACGATAGTTCTCGTTACGCTTTAAACCTTTTTCACAAAGCTCATTATTATTTGTGAAATTTATTGAGTAGTTAAACATACGCTATTAGTACTCCTCAAATATTATAATTAACTAGGTAGAGATTAGTTAAACAGGCTTGTGGGAAGCGCTGAAAAGAACAACGTAAAGAAGTATGACTTGCTCTAACCAGTTCTTTACTTGTTACAGACATAAGTACTCAAAATTAAATAAAACTGCAATGTTGAAAAGTTTACATTTGCAGTCAAATAAGAGATATACTTCAAACAGTGAAATTACGTTCAGAGAGACTTTAAGCTGCCGTTTGCATATATTATAAGAAAGGATTGCTTATTCACTTTAAGCATGTCAGATGGAAGAGAGGAAGGAAACACACGCATTCAAAAAAATATATATACATGTATATATGCACTGTACAGAATTAAGTGCCTCCAGCTGTGTTGATATTTTTTAACCTAGCTTAGCAAAGAAACTGAAGTGCTTCTTGCTTTGCAGTTTTGGTAGGTAACGCACTGTACATGAAATCAGCGTATATAATAACATGGACGCTGCCAGTTTTGAGCGACATATACAAGGTTAGCGGCGCACTGCTTGAGTTACCGAGATCCAGATGAAGCTACTGACATTTTCTAGTCCCTGCCTTTAGACTGGTGTAAAAATATGTAATTCTCTGCTCGAAGGTAAGAGCATGCTGAAATGCCTTAAATAAGCTTCCTTCTGGCATTAAAACAGACGGGATCCATAATTCTCTCGTCTCGGTTTGCATTAGGAGCCTACTTATAAAATAATTACAAGCATAATGAGTCATATCAGTCCATATGTATCACTGCCTCGCCAATCGACCACTTAAATATTGAAGACATGATTTCCTGGACAAAGAAAACATTCCCATGACATAGCGCAATGTGTTTTAGTCTAGTAAGTAGTTCAATTCATTTACTATAACTGGTACGGTAGCCATTAAAACCTATGATAAATTGTAAACCCTGAAAAAATAAGCGGAGATGATGAGAACGCAGACATCGTCACGCCTTCAGTGTAAATCTACAGAGCACGATAAATCTACCACAAGGTAAGATGAACGGATTGAAAGAACGCTTCGTCGTATTTGCTCCAAAGGCTGAATTATATATCTGGTCTCACTAAAGAAGTTTATACCGGGTTAAGACTATGAAAATGAAGAATCGGTGATGAGGATTACCATGACAATATCACACTGACAACTGTGACAGCGTATTAGGGCATCAATCTAGACAATGGATATCATAAAGTATAGAGAAGTGCAAATGTCTTCTAAAAGTTTGGTGCTCAGATTGGATTTGATATGACGATGATGGTGAAGACGACGGGAACGATGATACAATAATAAAAACAACAGTGATAATCAGAACGACTTTGGGTCATGCATATTCCCATCTTTATTGTAAAGCTAAACAAATGCTATACGTCATTTCGCCAACGTAGGTCTCCAAGGCCAGGGCACGAAGAACTAAATGCCGTAGAAATTGTCGTACGTAACCGGCTCTCGCTGCACCGCCAGAAGAAATACTGTCCATCTGCAATAGAAAAGGGTTAGAAGAGTCGTCCAATTTTGATATTATTGCACCTGCTTTAGAAACATACGAATCAGGGTGTCTTCCAACTGATGCAACTCAAAGTTTCTGAAAGTACGAAATTAAAAGTTCAACGATTATCCAAGATATAATGTTGCAGTTAATTATAATCATAATAAATTATTATAAATGACTACCACTGAAGACTGAACACGGCAATGCAAATATCAAGTATTAACATAATATTTAACCAAACCGTCAAAACGGAAAATAAGAAATATGTTACGGAATCACCTGAGTCACGGCAGCATACGGTCATAGGTCATAAAATGATATAGCAAAGATGGACCTGGTCTCCAGTAGTGGCTAATTCATAGAGAAAGCAAGATTTCATGTCTCAAGAGAGACAGACTGTGTTTCACATGGAAATGGTCTCGTTGCGATAATGGGAGGAAGATTCCCTAGCCACTGGTATTAGAATGCAGCATGCAAGAAATATGAGAGTGGAGTTCTTCGCAACACTCCATGACAAAATGAACGGCAGGCAGACTTCCATGTCGTCAGCTGTGGAAAGGACTGAAAATATGACTTTCGTAATAACGACCATTTCCAGACTTCAGCTGATTGACAGGGTTATTCATATAAGAAAACAAACTATTTAACTAGAGTAGTAAAAATAAAAATTCAATTACAAACGAATCGCACATCTGAACGTGGTCAAAAGGCTGGCCTTTCAGACGCCGTAACTCCTGAAGCAGAGCGTATTTTCGGCATGAAACATGTGTCTTCCACGGCAAAGAATGGTAAAC